TACAGTGGTGCACTTTTGCCTCTTCAGACTCACTTTTGTTTAGTTCAGGATGAGCCAGGGTGACTCAAAGTCAGCCTTTGTTCAGGAAGGACTACGTGGAAGAAGTACAAGTCATAAGATTTCACTAAGTAAACCTTTAGAAGAACTATTAAAGCCTTGTGGTGATGCAAGTGAGTCAGCTGCTGCCTAGGGTGTGGAGATGGTTGCCCTTATGAAACGGGCTTTATGTCAGAAACGCTATTTAATCTGAGCCTAAAGTTCTCTAAAAAAATGTTTATAATTGACAACAAAAGCCTATAATAATGTAAATGAATTAGAAGGTCAGCGGTCACAGCATTACAGGCAACACAAGACTGTGCTCGCAATGTCCGCTCTTAAAATATTTACTAGCACTCTAGAATATCAGATTGACTGAGGAGTGCAGGAAGGTTTTCAGGTCACCTGAGCTAACAGGATAAAGCTATGCCAAGTCAGACAAGGGGCTGTTTGGATGGTGACCAAGGATAGATTTAAATATAACTGTAAAGACTTTCTAACTTTCTAAAAGGCCATCAGCTGATTTGGAGCAACAAAAGGCATGTCCTTCCTTAAACCCAGACCGACAGGTGTTGATCTTCCACTCAAACCACTGCAAGACTAAATGTAGGCTTAAACTGACCACGACTCGAGGCCCTGTGCTTCACATAGGGCACCAACAGGGTGCATGATCAGCCAAATTCATTCAGCTCGCTGAACCGTCCAACCCACGTGACGCAAGGTGGAAATATCAGGTCAAACTGGTTTTCCGATTCATGCCACAGTGTAGCTTTTCATGAATTTCAGGACTTTTTTAGGTTTCTGCGAATTATGCCTACAAACACAAGTTTCAAGCAACAATGAGCCACAAGCAAGAAGAACAACTGAAGTCTGCATGAAGTCTATAACGCAGAATCATTCCCGATCAGACTGGGAATGTGTGGTATTTTATGCTTAAATCCTCCTAGTGTGCCTAATATATGGAAATTAGGAGCACGGTTTAAGCTACTGCAGGCAAACATTGTTGAAACACAAGCTCGCGTTTATATGGTGATTATACACACACTAAATTCGTAATAGAGTCGCCATGTTATAGGAGGAAAAATAAGAAATGTAGCGTCTCTAACGTTTGCTCGACATTAGCCGATCTTGAGTTAGCAGCCGGGATCAGCAATTCTTACAACTGACCGTCCCGTACCACAAGTCATCCGACCTCATAACGCTTCGCACTTCGTTCAGCAGCAGGTCTTTAGGGGCTGCCCCGTGCACGTCGGTCGGGTTTTTTTTTAAATGACCAGTTATAGCTAACGCTAATCCAACCAGCTAACTTAATCTTGTCAGCTATGCAGCTACATGCTAACATAGTTAGCTCTGAATTTCATCTTGGCCGCACGAGAAATTCGCTATGTCATGCGTCTTATACCCGGTAAAACATTACTTTCAACAGCTCACCGGGTTCACAAAGTCATGAAGAATCCACTTCAAAGATCGCCACGTTAAACAAATCCTGCAATATTACATTTTTATTCTTCTTGACGACTAAAGTGAAACGGGACAGATTGCTCACGTTTGTCAATAGACAATTGGGATGACAATGCGCATGCGCATTTCTGTTATCTTTGCGGGAGTCCGGAGGGTACCCATCTGTGTATAATTATTAACGAGTTACACATTGCATATAAAAATAATGTATTTGTCCACAATAAAGGAGTTAAGTCTTCCATTAGCTAAACATTTAAATTTAAACACTGGAATAGGCATGCTGTACTCTCCAATCCTCATCAAAGAGAAACCAGCGACCAAGAGAATAATCGTCATACCATTTCCGCTTTCGTTTAAACGGCCCTTTGCTGAACCCTAATTTTGTTGGCAAACAGTGTGTCACCACAATAGTTTTATCAAGCACCACTTTCAATCTGATATTTCTTTTTTTCTCCTTTTTTAAACGATAAAAACTAAAACGACTCTTTGCTTTCTCTAAGTATTTCAACAGATTTTTTTCTGTATTTCAAGAAATCAAAACAACAAAATTCAAATTGTCATCACCTTGCCTTTCTCCCCCCCAACCACTCAACCTTGGTATTCACGTAGTTTGGAGAAAAAGCAAGAGAGGTAAGGTTAGGGTGGTTTGGATATGTGCAGAGGAGTAATAGTGGACATACTGGACAAAGGATGGCGCAACTAGTTAAGAAGAAATAAGGAAGACCAAAGAGAAGATTCATGGATATAGCAAAGAAGGACATGCAGAGGTTTGGTATGACAAAAGAGGAGGGACAGGATATGTTGGCAGGATATCCACTATGGCAACCCTTAAAGGGAGCGTGTTGTTAATAATCGTTTTTTGGTTTTTTGCGACTAACAGTAAGAACAATACGTTTACATTACATATAAACATACATATAATGTAGGCAGTATGCTGTAACGTATCCAATGCTACATACAACTGGCTATTTTAAAAATGACCACAGAGGTGTGCAACCTTTTTAATCTGCTTAACTCTGCATTTATCAGTAAAACTCTTTTGGCTATTAACCATTGGTTACAAATTGAGTACAAACACACACATTTACTTATTCAAAAGTGGTAAGTGCAAGGCGCCAAACTCCATCTTTATTTTATGTTTTATTTAAACTCTTGAGAGAAGTTGTTCACGTCTTTTGGCAGCTGCATGTTCCACACTTTTAACCAGCTGGTTGCTGCCCATGTCTGTCCCTGCTATTAGCTGAAATCAAGCATCTAATGCAGCAAAAAACACAGCGCTGTGAGTTTAGACATGCTAAACACTAGTGAGACACAAGGAACAACCCTCAGGGCTGAAAAATATGGCCAAAGTAAAATGACAAAAATTGAGACTGCCTCCAAATCCACATAGACTTCCATGTTAATGCCCAGTTTTACAACACAAATAAAGAGTATAGCTAACAGCTTACTTTTTAAAGCCATATGCAAAAGTTACACGCTTTTAATTATATCACACAAGGAAATAAAGTTGATGTCAACCTTAGAATTGGCTTAAAATTTATAGATATTACATGCTAAATGTGCTTGAAATGCCATTTATACCAAATTCCATGAGATCACGTTGGGCTTGTCTGGTCCTCTGCAACTGTAAACTTTAAAATTATTTAGAATTGGATGATTTATCACTATAATTACAAGTGTCTGCCATGAACATATCATAGATACCTAAATTATGCACTTTTGGAATGCAGGTTCGTCAAATCTGCAGCATGAAACCTGCTCATGAAATAAAGTAAACTTGACCAATTAGTTATTTGACATACAGTGAAGGAAATCTCAGTGTTCCAAGTTCCCTGGATTTGAGAAATCAGGTTTAATGAACTTGAGAGTTTTTTGGAATTAACTGTTAGACCTTCAGTGCATTCATAGCTTCATGTCTTTTGTACAGACAGACATCTACCACCTGAACTCCTGCACATTGAGAAAACACAATAACAAGACACTACAATTCACTTATGAAAACAGAAATGTTGTCAAGTTTAAATGAAAGTTAGTAAAGCTTTCATCTCTGATATTAAAGAAGAAAATGTTTAAATATCAAAAATTACAGGGAGTTTTGTTTGACTTTCACAGCTTTAAAAGACGTAACTGGGCTTCAGCTTAGATGTGTACAAACTGCTGACCCGAGTGAGTAACTAGTACAGTATGAAAAACGAAGAAAATGCAACATGATGTAAAAAAATATATAAATATATATATATTTTTTATTAATAAAATAATTGCACATTTCATATAAATGATCTTTCAAGTTCACCAGGAAATCTTTTGATGTCCAAACAGGAAGTGAAACACTACAGAAATATCTGTGCTGATGAACTTAACTCTATATATGTTGAAACCACATATATTTTTGAGTATTCTCCTGAAATCAGATGATAGTTTGATGGCACCAAGTGCAAAATAATCTCCTGTCCTGTCCTAAGTCATCCCACATGTACGGTATGTAGTGTAATTTGTACATAAAGTGACAAATCCACAGATAATTATAGCAGTTTTAGTATCTCTCAGCTCCTTGTTTTGGTTTGTTTTTTACCGTATTGCCTGGTTTCATCAGAAAGTTTCTTTTAGTCTCTCTTGCTGAATGATAAAATGGCAGAAATACAACTTGCTGTGAACAAAATATGTTTTATTTTGCTGTAAAAGGGCAAAAGAAGTTGTTGTAATAAGTTTAAATGGATACATTATTACATGTGACAAAGATTCCAAGTGCAACAAAGAAACAAAAGTCATGCTCACATTCAGTGTTGCGCTGCCTCCTTTGGCACACTCCTGCATGACATAATACAGTGTTATTGTTATCTGTTATTGTCTTTTCTTTAATAATGTTCTTAGACTTTCTGGCAGCACTCTTAGGTGGGAAAAGTTGCATCTGAACAAACTAGAAGACTTCCAGAATGTCCTTTACATATATGACACTGAAGTGGACAAGTTTAACCATAACATACCTCACCGAAGAAGAAACAGCACAGCAGAAACAGTCTATACCAACTGTTAAGCACACAGTGGTGGAGGGTGATGATTTGGGCTTGGATCACTTGCAGTCATGGAAAACTCTGTGTTCCAAAGTGTTCTAGTGTCAAATGTGAGGCCATCTATCCAAGAGCTAAAGCTTGGCTAAAACTGGGTCATACAACAGAACACGGATCCAAGCACACCAGCACATAAAGGCTAAAAAGAAGGTGTCAAAGTTTTGACTCAGCACAGTTAAAATTCAGACCTCAGTCTGAGTGAACTGCTGTGCAGAAATTATTTACTTGCAAAACTCAATCAACACTATTGTAAAGAAGTGTTGGTCAAAATCCCTCAACAGAGAATGGATAGATTGATAAATTCACACAGTGAATAATTCCTTGAAGTTATTGCTGTGAAAAGAAGACCCGCCTGTGCCTCAATTTTATTTTGCAACCTAGACATCCACATTACTCACACTCTCACTCACACTCTCACATAACACATACATATAGGGCCTTGGGGGTGGGCACGTTTTACAGCATCCAGAGGATGGTCGGTGTATTCCAACCCACCTCTGGCGCTGGTGCCCTACCCTCAATTTTAAATGCATATAGACACTGAGGGTTTTCGGGAGGAGCCGTGCTGCTCTCTGATAGGAAGCAGGAACCATGCTCTCCTGTGTTTTAAATGCACTTTAGAACAGCACACAGCAACACTACATATGAGCGGGCGGGAAAAAAAAGAAAAGAAGACCCGCAGGCTAACAATGACTCCATAACTCTACAGAGTCCTATCAGAAATGTCTTTTTCACATGACTGTAAGTATCGTTCATTACATTACTCTGATGATTGAACACTACCAACAGAAGAGGTTCATAATGTCCAAATCAAGAGTATACAGCCTCATCATAATAACTTATTATATATAAATATGCTTAAATAAGGTGTGCTTCAGTTTTTTGTTGACAGTGTAAATTAACTCTGTCTCTCTGTATTAATATATTTATAGATATGATCCTGTATGGGTAACCATTATGGATCTAAGAATATAATAATAACACATGAATATGAATTTACATCAGCTGCATTTAACAAGACGTTTTGTGAGTTTCGATTTCTTTAGCTGGACAAATGTTGCTTGATATCCTGAAACAGTGTGTGATTAACTAAAGTCATTGCACACGTTTCTTTTCTTTTTGTTCTATTTTTTCTCTTCTTTTTCTTTTCACCTGTTTTTGGATATTGTCCAGTGAAATGACATGGAGTCTGCCTGAAGCTAAGTGCTATTTTTTTCCAGTTTTGACATTTTGAAAAATAAGTCTGATAAGAAGCTTGGACCACAGACACAAAGCAATGCCTGTTGGACTGTTGGACCAACCACCCCCGCTGAACTGCAGCTATGAAACAGTTCACTGTGCTCCAGCTCCAAGTTGCAGGGAGATGAACGTGGAGACAAAGGCAAACTTTTAAACCTCAGGTATGTAGATAGCACCACTCTGTCGGCCTCCAAATACATCATGTAGCTGATTCCAGTCTGCCGCAGTTCTGAATGACCCAGCCGGTGGCGTTGACATCAAGCTTCAGTAGGTCCATGACCCATTCATCCTTCTGAGCTCCCTCCATGAACTCCAACAAGGTTATCTCACCTGTTGGGCACAAAAACACGATCCACACTGTTGACTTTATACCACGGCTTCTATGATGTTTGGGGAAAAGTCACATTTTTGCAGTGTTACACCATTACAGGCAATTGTACATTAAATAATCAAAATGTAACTGAGTTGCAGCTTTAATTCAAGGGGTCTTATTTTATTTAGTTTTTTGCATTAAATGTTTAAGAATTACAGCTTTTTCTAGAAACAGTGCCCCAGTTTAAAGGCTCAAAATGAATGGGACAATTGACCGACAACCACTTTCATGGCCAGGTAAGGTCTGCCTCCTTGCTATTTAATGACAAATGAAGCAGACATGATATCTGAAGTTGAATCAAAAAGTAAAATCTGTATTTTATTTGAATTTATAAGAATGAGTGCACAGCTCAGGAATAAAAACTGAAAGAGGGCAAGGAGAGTGCACGATGGCAGAATTATTTCTAGTTAAGAAGAACAACTTCACAACAACTGCTGAAATAAAATGTTCTTACATAAAAACAGATTTTAGTTACTAAAAACAAGCTTATTAAGGCTGGATCCACGTCAGACTCTGTTACTGTCTGAGTCACCACCACAGATCCATCAGCGAGCCATGTTCTCTCGTTGCTAATGTTCAGTGTCTGTCACCTACAGTTTGTCCTGTCAGGTTAGAGCTGAATACTCAGATTTCAATATCTAATATAAATTATGGCAGTATAAAGAAATGTACATATTTTTTAATCAGATCTTTATTCTGTCTATGACAGTGACAGAGTGAACAAAGCTCATTTAAAAATCCTTTCTTTATATGGCCCACAATGATGCATTCATATTACACAGTCCACTGCATGAAGATTGAAGCTCTGCTCTTTTTGCCACAGTGAATCCAAGTATCAGAGCTCCAGTGATGACGATATACTCAGAGATGATTAAAGAGGCTCTCAGAAGAAGCTCCAAGACTTCATCACCTCAGAGTTTATGATTAGATTCATATTTTACCTGCTTCCTCCTTAGAAGAGACAACTGGAACATCTAAATACTTAAAACTAAAAGTGGGTAGTTAACGATAAACTCGTATTAGGTTGTGGTGATTTACTATTTTGGATGCATTGAAATGAAAACAGAACATATATGAAGTCAGTGTAGGAACAAACTACAGTGAGATGAGACCATGACACATGTTACGTCTCATGTCTAAGATATTCAGAACAATCACAGCATATTCACAACATAGTGCAGTGGTTTACACTCACCATCATTATTCTGGTCAACCAGCTGGAAGATTCGGTCACAGATTTGGGATGGAGTCATGCTTATGTGAGTCTTGTGGAGTTTGATTTTGTAAAGAATCTGCATGAGACACATGAAATGATGATCAAGCACACTCACATTCAATTTAGATCTAATCTCCTAAATATACAGTGTGTTGTCCTCCAATATGCTGACAGGAAAGTTTATTCTGATCTGACAGGGTCGACTCTGCCAAAGTTTTGTTTCTTTGTGATTTGCTAAATATGATGCATAGCTGAAAAAAGATCCAGGTGCAGACAGCACACACACACATACACACAACAGACACACACACACACACACCACATACACACACACACACACACACACACACACACACACCAAAAAAAGGCTAGCTGTATACACACTTGGTCTGTTTGCTCACAGATAAGATTGTTTTAACATCAGTTAACAAACTAATGACTTAGAATTACTAAGATTTGTTATTTCAAGAAGAAAACAATAAAAAGTGTTTAAAGTTTTCTTTTACCATAAATGACCAGCATTTATGTCTCCAAATTTAGAAGCTTCAAGTAAATTACAACAGCAGCCTCCCAGAATGGCCTCATTATGTGTTCATCTAATGTCCCGTGAGGCTGCATTACATGACCCCTGGGCCTAATCTGGTGCACAGGAGTAGTACTTTAAGCTGTCTTGAAAAGATCTGTGTTATGAAACCAGGTAACTTCTCACAGTTAAGACAGATTACACACAGATGATCCTCCTTTTCTACAAATCTTCACTCTTAACATACTGTTCAAAATGAAAAGAAAAGCCGTGCAGGAAAACTTTGAATCACACAGTTTATCTTACCCTGACAAGCCGTTTCACCTCCGTCCTGTCCAGCCTGCCGTTTCCATCACTGTCATACATCTTGAAGGACCACTTGAGCCGATCTTCAAGATTACCTCGTAAGATCAAGTGAAGTGCTGCCACATACTCGAGGAAATCCAGTGTGTTATCCTGTTTAAAAATAACAAAAAGGTACATTTACAGTGAAGTTGTACATTTATTTTTACAAAGACAAATTGTTCCGTCTTTTTACCTTGTTTGTGTCGAACGAGTTGAATATTGTTTCTATGAAAAGGGACTCCTCTACAGAGCTGCTTGGAACTCCAAAGATCTTCTTGAACTCATGCAGGTGCAGGGCACCGCTCGGACACTCCTTCATGAAAATGACACACAGCTCATGAATCCTTGCCAAGTCCATCTCCTCATTGTGACTTTCTTCTTGTCCCATGGCCTCTGCCAGCTTGAAGGAAAAAACCCCAAGTGTGTTTGTATGGAAGTTCTGCAGAAATGACTGCAAGGCGTCTGCTTGCACAGTCAAACTGAAGAGCTTTGGACTGCTGCTTAGCCTCGCTCTCACTAACCTGACAGGGCGTGGCAGGTTAGTGACACGTTAATCTTTTAATTTGCTAATCTCTTGACTTTTAATCAGCAACATCTTGTTATAACACGTCTGAAAGTTTGGCATTGCATGTCATCAATGTGCCAACAGCAGTGAATACTGTGGTGTCTACTTAATGGTAACTTAGGCGGTTAATTAAACCAGCTCTCTTTGATATTAGCAGCCTGTCTGTCATTAGATATGTGCTGCAGCAGAAAGAAACATGGCACTCAAAGAACTGTAAATAGAAATTCTGTAACAGCAGGGAGATAACTCATGGTGAAGGGGTGGGGTTAAATAAGTGTCACTTCTTCCCACTCCTTTTCCATATGTAACTGAATCAGAACAGGTGAAGCAATGTTCGAATGCCCATCCATCCATCCATCCATCCATCCATCCATCCATCCATCCATCCATCCATCCATCCATCCATCCATCTTCTAAGTGACCACTTCTCTGGGGCCGGGTCGCGGGGGCAGCAGCCTACGCAGAGAAGCCCAGACCTCCCTCTCCCCAGCCACTTTGTCCAGCTTGTCCAGGGGGAACACCAAGGCGTTCCTAGGCCAGCCAAGAGATATAATCTTTCAAGCATGTCCTGTGCCTCCTCCTGGTGGGACATGCCTGGAATAGCTCACCCAGGAGGCATCCTTATCACATGCCCTAACCACCTCAACTGGCTCCTTTTGATGTGGAGGAGCAGCGGCTCTACTCTGAGCCCCTCCTGGATTGCTGAACTCCTCACCCTATCCCTATCTCTTACCTTACCTTATTGTGGTGGAGGGTTTTGTGTGTCCCAGGGATCCCAGGGGCTATGTTGTCCGGGGGCTTTTGCCCCTTGGTAGGTTCTCCCATGGCAAAGACATTGCTCATGACAAAGAGGAATTCAGAAGACCCCTATGAGTGAAAGGCTAAGGGAACAGTTCACCCTGCCTGGGATATGGTTACCGGAGCGCCAGCCTGGAGCCAGGCCCAGGGAGGGTGCCCGAGGGCAACAGTCTGGTGGCCGGGCCTTAGTCCATGGGGCCCGACTGGGCGGAGCCCAAAAAAGGTACATGGGCCCATCCTCCTGTAGGCCCACCACCCGCAGGAGGCGCCATAGGGGTCAGGTGCATTGTGTGTGGAGCGGAGGCCCTGGAGGACTGATTCCCGGCTACCGAGGCTAGCAATTGGGAAATGTTGAAATGTATTAACTTTATTTTATATTGCATTGTTTTCTTCTTTTCGTTGCTAAATGAACTTCTGTATATTGTTCACACAATCGAAATAAATTAAAAACAAACAAGTGAATTGTTTTCTGTGGCGATGCTGATCATCTAGGCAACTGGAATTCAAAAATAATGTGCTTAAGGCATCCTGAAGCCAGAACGTGCCAGAAAGGTATGTGACATGTCATCCGTTTTTGTAATGTTACATGAAGGCTGTTACCTTGACTGTGACATCTACATGTACATCTATGTCCCCGCTGCACATTATAAATAATACGTTTAAGGCACTTTCAATGATTTCACATATCCAGTTTCCCTGATACGTCATGTCTCAAGTCCAGCTGATGCTATAAGACCAATAGATGATGGGTTTCTTTGCGGTGGTTGTGGCAGGAGGTCACCTACTAATAACAATGATGATGGTTCGATCGCTGGCTGCTCCAGTCTGTATGCCACAGTATCCAGAGGTGAGTCGAGTATCCAAAAATTGTACTCAAGTAAGAGTAGCATTACATTAAAATATTAGTCTTCAAAAAAGTTACTCAAATAAGAGTAAAAAAGTACTTGGTGAAAAGACTAATCAAGTAGTGAGTAAAAGGTTATAATGTCCTCTGACAGTATCCTTGGGCAAGATACTGAACACCGACCTGCTGCTGATGTGTTTGTCAGAGTGTGAATGTCAGTTAGAAAGCTTAGAAAAAAGTGTTTGCATGACTGTGTGTGAATGAGACATGTTGTATAGAGGACACTGAAGTAGAGCAGCGTTATATAAGAACGAGTCCATTTACCATTTCTAGAAATAGTGTTGTTTGCTCCTCACTCCACCAACACAATAATGTGACAATAATGTCCTTTTGACCACTCAAACAAAAGTTACTGTTCTCTTCTCACGGCTACATCTCAGCAAGACTTACTTCTTGAAGGGCTTTGACGCTACCATGTAGTCAAACGGACTAAAGATGGTGGAACATGATGAGGCTACCCTGAAATATTTATGAAAAGATGACCTCTTTTTTCTCACTTCTACACATTTATGTTAATTTATTATTTACAACCAATGCGTGTTTAATACAAAAAAACTGGATATCTCAACTCACAGGCCAGTGCCAAGGCTTACCTGACATTGTGGAAAAATACAAACTACAGTCACAGACCTCTCAGTTCAGTTTTGATTTCCCAGAGGAGTGCTCGTCTACACAGACTAAAAGCTTTCGCTCTCTACTGACAAAATAAACATGCCTGAAAAAAACATATAAGAACATGTAATCATAACTGGATTATTACATATGCCAGTGTTCTTCTGGGACTGGCTAATATGTGCTTTAAAGCAGTTTGAGTGCTCCAGTAGAATAAAAAAGCACTGCGTAAAAATTAGTCCAATCCATTTATTATGAAGACATTTACATTAACTTTCAACATTCAGTTAAACCTTCAGCAAGCTGTGATAATTATTCTGCTGTCATAAATTCTCTTTATAAACATTTTTTACTTGCATGTATGAACAGCATAGATAGATCTAGATCTGGTCATAAAAACATATCAAAAAAATGCCATAAATAGTTTTTAATTCTCAAACATTTTATGAAATAAACTCAAATACCAGGTCTCCTCAGCACACTTGCAAATGTTTTTTGATGAGTGGCAGTTAGGCTGTTCAACATCTTGAAGAACTTTTCTTCTTGTCAGCCTCTTCGGTCTCTTCGTGTGATCTCTCACTGCCTCTATGAAGCTGAGAACAGATTGGTTCGCCACTGGTAGGATGCTCGGGTTCGTTGCCATGGGCCACAGGTTTAGTGGCAAAATGTTTGCGACCCATGTGTAGCAGGGATTAGTTATCGGCTGTTAGACACTTAAGCCTAACATGTCTTATTTCACAAATCTTAACATGGATTCAGTTGTTCTTCTTCACATTAATCTACACAAAGTCCTCAGCAAAGACAAATCTGTGGATTTATTAGCAGTAGGCTGTTAAATGTTAAATAGGGTCCTTTAAATTCAGTGCAAGTTTGCTTGATTTTGTTTTGATAGTTTACAGATCTAAGGTTCCACTGTTTCCTTTCTCCATTTACAGCAGAGTTACAGAGGCTCCATATGACCCTGAGACTGCCAAGCTCAGAGGATGCTCCTCATCCTCTACATTAGGAACCACAGAGATGTTCCAAACATTCACACATGTCTGCTGGTGGGTTTAGACGACGCCAAACTGAGCCAGGTCGCTCAGCTCCATGTCACCAAAGGCCTCCCAGGGACAGACCACTGCAGAGTCTGCAAGGTAAGAAAAATAAAAGCCAAGCATAAGATTTAAACATAAAACAGCTTCATAATAAACATAATAATCACACTCACCTCCAGGCTCCTCCATCCCTGGGACATCATTGTCAAAGCTATTGGAAAAGCAGATGGAAAGTATTCAAAGAAAGTACAAGAAACTGATGTATAAGTGGAATAATTACTCAACTCACCCCTTCTGTCCAGGTTTGGGAGCTTTGCTCTTAAACTGCCGAGATCCCTTCTGCTTGAACTTCGGAGGAGCAGGCTTGGAGCCCTCCGCTGGCTCGGCTGCTGTTGCATTCATCTTTAAAAAGTTCAAACACAAAAATAGTTTTATCTCTTTTTTTACGACTTCTGTATGCTAATAGTCTCTATTCCAAAACTAAAGTCAAAGGTCAGCTATGACACATGATCGTGAATCAGCATGCAGCACCCAGGGATCAAAACGTGCCATCAAGTAAAACCTGTTTCAATTTTCAAAGGTGAGACTGAGCACATTTAGCTCCTGATCAGGCCTCATCGCTCCCTCATACTTACGTAAATGGCACAATAAATACAGAGGATTGTTTTCCACCCTCACATCAGTCATTTAATTCACGAGGAACCTTCTGTACCTACTGGCAGTGACCAGCTTGGACGACAGAGCACTTTCCAGCCTAATGATATCTCCAAATCAAACACCATAGCAGGTCCCTCCACCGTTCAGTAAATCTGTGACTTGTATTATTCTTCAGTCACCGACACTGCTCCAGCCACAGCATGTCAGTATCAGCAATGCTGCTGCACTGCCTCCCTGAGGCAACGATGTGTAGAGTATAACTGGACTATCATTCACTGTTCTTTAAGTCGTTGCATGAAGTCTTGTTCTGAATTTTTAACACTTTCAAGAGTTATTTGACATCAACGTGAGGATTTATGAGTGTAATCTGAAGTTACATTTTAACACATCTAAAAGAATAAACGCCCACTCTTCTACACACAGTTAAACCAGGAAAAGCTTTCAAGATGTTAAAAAGTACTTTCACAGAAAGGTTTTTGCTACAGTGCGTGCTCATGTTTGCTGCCAGCTCTTACCCTGTTTCAGAAGAAGAAAGAAGTGCGGTCTCAGTCATGCAGCCACTCTCCTCACAGCATTTATATACTGGCTGTGGTCATAACAAAGCTGTAAATAGAGCTGCGATGGTTTTTTTGAAGGATAATCTCATAATCCTGAGCCGTGTGTACCTGTGCTGCAATGCCCACTGTCCATGCCAAAACCTTCTGTGGGTGTTCACTAAACAGGAAGCATTTCGGGTCATCATGAACTAAGGGCTCATCAGTTGTGTTTGTGGAAGGAGGACAAATCTGCACAGGATGCTGGATAAATAAACCCAAAGAACAACACATCTGTTTAAGGCATGGGGCCACAGGGCAAAACATTCACTCTTAATCAGTGTGCTGCTTATCATCATTAGACTGAAATGCTCAGAGAAAGCAAAAATGTGAGAATACACTGAGCTAACACCTGAAAACAAAATCAGGTTAGCCTCCATTCCCAGAGGGTCTGTGACGATCAATTATTCTGTTAATGAAGCGAGTCCGACTCTGTTCTGCAAACCTCATTGAAAACTGAAATCACACTAGGATGCATCATCATAACCCTAAATACTTGAACATTACGTAACACAAATGAGATATTTCAGAGCCGTTTAGCTCACTCGTTATTTTCAACCAAAAACCTCCAATTTCTTTTGTGTTGTTTGTTTTTTCAGAAGCCCATCGAGGGTCCTCAGGCAGCAGGGCCATGTGAGGACTGCAGGGACACTCGCAGCATATGGAGGGAGCTGGTAAGTGTTAAAGTGGATTACTCTTAATCCCCTGAACTAAATCCACATACTGTACACTTACACAACATGTTAACTAGCCAGCAACAAATACTTCATGATCAAAAAGAAATTAATTTACAAATTCAGTCAAATCTGAAATCAGCCAGAAATGCGAACCAGATCAATCCGCTGGTTAAGAGCTGAACACTAAACAAATGTAGTTTGTAGTTTTTTAATAAATACAAATGGATGCTGTGGTCAAATAATTTGCATAATAATTGAATTGATGGAGATGACTCTCGTTGCTTTGATTGATTTGTTTTGTTGTGATTTGGTGCTTTATAAATAATTTGAATAGAATTTTTAAAATTATCCACAGCAACAAAGCATTATTTGTTTCCTTTCTTTACATAATGAGCTTAAAAACAGGCCGGAGAAATAACACAACGCTATGATCCATGTAATGAGGTCTAATTAGGAAGTGAAGTAAAATAGCTGCATTTACAGGCCTGACAGCAGGTTGTTACACCAAAAGTCTGAGTAATCATTATACATGTTGATTATACATTATACTGTCACCAAGCTCTCAGCCATCAACTACATTCACCTCAGCAACAGGTAAATAAAGAGCAGAAGCTCCATTTTAATCCAGGAGGCTGAGAAAATAAACGTGTGTCAGTCAGTTTAAAGATTGTAGACAGAATAAAATGAATTTTTGAAGCTGGACTCTTACCTATTTTTACCTTTAGACTCGTGATATGAAGGATCATACCTACACTGCCAAATGTATTCACTCATCTGCCTTCACACGGATATGAACTTGACATTGCTTTCACAGTCTGCAGGGTTTAATATGATGTCTTTATGGACGTTGCCTCGTGCAGTCATGTCGGTACAGGAAGGGGCCATCCCCAAACTACTCCCACAAAGCTGGGAGCTGAAATTGTCCAAAATGTCTCAGTATGCAGAAGCATTGAGTTCCTTTCAGTAGAACCAAGGAACCGAGTCCTGAAAAACACCCGCACACCATAATCCCCCCTCCACCAACCTTTACACTCGGTCAGACTAGTACCGCTCTCCTGGAAACCTTCAAACTCCTCCAATGGACTGCCAGATAGAGACGCGTGATTCGTCACTCCAGAGAACACGCCTCCACTGCTCTACAGTCCAGTGGTGACATGCTCTGCACCACTGCATCCAACATTGAGTGAAATTCAGGTCAAATGGAAAATGAATTCATGAACTGAGCTGAGCTGGACTCTGAAACGATCATTCCACAGCGGACCGTGGATGGAAACGTATAAAAGCTGTAAGGAGAGTCTGTGTTCAGGAGGATACGAGTGGCAGGCTTTCCTGCTGACAGCAGAAACTGGGACCATTTCTTGAGAGGTTTTGTGGATGTTTATTGACAAGAGTTACAAGGAAAACTTTTCAGAGATTTGTTTGAATAAAACAAGGAGAATCTAGATCATTTTCATTTTGTACTGCATTTATACACATGGACGACTCAATATTATTCAAGTTTGAGTCCATAAAACACTGACGTTGAAAAGGGCCACAATGCAACACACTGTGCATGCTTGAGCCGACTTACACAAACACACAGGCCTCAGCTAAAGAACCAGCTATAAATTATAGTGTAAGTATAACAAACTCTCTTATTTTGGACGACTGTCTGTGGTATAATTCCACTGCAACAAGTATTAGTGCATTCAGTTCAAAAAGACTTGTGCCTCAGTAGTCAGCACTGCCTCACAGCAAAAGCATCCTGGGTTTAAGCAGCAGGGCTCCTCTGTGTGTGGTTTAGATGTTCTCCTCGTGCTTTCTCAGGTTTCTCCAGCCAATCCCATTTCTCCTGCCATCAAAAACACGCTACAGCAGGGCCGACTGTCGCAAAACAGCCCAAGACTTTCACTCCTAGTTAAATACAAAACTTACTGTAATACTCCACTTCATGTGCCAGAGTATGATTTTCAAGAGGAAACAATATCGATTCACTTCAATTTTATGAGAGAAGACAACCGCATCACATTATGACAATGACTTTACATCCCTGAACAGGTTAATGACATTTTTACTGCACGTTTACTGCATGTGTTCCACATTCATTTACATCAGGAGCAAAATGAGGAGCGTAAATGAGAAATGTTGAGTTCATGGGAAGTTCCAAAGAAGCCTGAACCCACAGTTTCACTTTCAGCTTTACATCAGCAAAACTGAGGGACGGTTCTGCCGCAGCCCTCATTACAAGCATTAACTAAAAGGAACATTTGAATTTAACCGCTCCGAGACTGGGAGCAGGTTCCACAGACACGAATGCTCTGCTCCCGTTCTACTTTTGACATTTCTAAGAAACACAAGTAAAGCAGTCTGAGAGCAACGTGCTCTACTGGCAAAGTATGGTACCATGAGACTTGAACATATGACACTTAGGCAAGGCAAGGCAAGTTTATTTGTATAGCACAATTCAACAACAAGGTGATTCAAAGTGCTTTACAGAGACATTAGAAACAAGAACAAATAAAAAGCATGACAAATAAAAAACAAAAGTCTTAATTCTGGAAAAACATGGCTTTGGATTTGCTCTGCCCTGTTTAACTTTGTGCTCTCTAGAAAGACTTTGGTTAATAAATGGTTATTAGATAATTGATTTTTAAGTCTCAAAATTCACGCTGATCTCATGTGATTATCCCCACCATGACTTCACTAATGTCCCACAATTTAGTGGCCAGTTCCTGATCTGTGGCTTTGTCCAAAAGAACCTGAGGCTGACAATCTGCAAAGCACTTTCCTTGCACATTGTCAACATCCGGGCTAGAAGCTACATAGACGGATGTCTGAGCTCCTTCTTCGGGGCTCCTAAACAAGCTTTGGGACAGCAGGTCAAAAAGCGGCCTAACAAACACAGCGATGTGAACGTGCCTTCCCAGATTAGTCCTCACTATGCCCGGAGTTACAGCATTCGCTGTCACTCCGCTGCCCTCCAGGCGACGGGCAAGCTCACAGGTGAACAAAAGGTTGGCTAGTTTGCTGCGACTGTAGGCAAAAGCTTTGTCATACGACTTCTCGCTGCTTAGGTCCTCGAAATTTATGTAACCGTGTTTATAGAGCTTGGAAGAGACCACCACTATGCGGCTAGGAGCTGATTGTTTCAGAAGGTCCAGCAACAAATGGGTGAGCAGGAAATGTCCCAGATGGTTGACTCCAAACTGCATCTCAAAGCCATCCTCTGTCCTGGTGTAAGGACACTGGTAGATACCGGCATTGTTGATCAGCACATCTAGCCGAGGTTCCTCCTGTTTAACAGCAAAGAGGAGAACAGATTATTTTGTACACGGTTTACTTTTACTACTAGAAACACACTAGATATAAAACAGGTCTGTGGTGCATGTCCACACTGCAGCATAAATGAGCTTCCTCCAAAGAGTGGGTGAGCTCATTCAGGACCAGCTCAGACGACAGCCGCTACATACTTAGAAAACCAGTGACTTATTCCCACACTGCAGAGCTGCTCCCAATTTTAGGATGCCGCCACCTGCCAAATATTTTTCCACCAGGAAGAAATATAAATATTGTTAATTAACTACAAGCATTCAGTGGTATGTAACCCAGTACTGTGGAGTCCAGCCAGTCGCGTGACACACTGTATGGATATTCAGCAATGCTAAAAGGTTTTCTCCATCTGAGTCTTTTCAGCGTGTCTCAGTTCAGTCCTTTGCATGTTTTGGACTCTTTCGCTTCCACAGCTGGTCCACTGTGTTCCATAAGATTTCTTTAATTCAACTTCTGTTGTGTTTTGTGGGTTTTTGCTGTTGAGTTTTCTTGAGTTGCAGTGGGTTTGACCTCTCAGGGCCACTGGCTGGTAGCCTCTTTCTGTTCCAGCATGAGTCTGCACCAGCGCCCAAGGTCTATAAAGGCATGACTGGTGTGGATGAACGTGACTGGTCCACACAGAACCTTGATAAAGCCTAAAGAAAGCCTTTTCCAGAAGAGTGGAAGCTGTTTGAGCTGCAAAGGGTAGAGCAGCTCCATATTAACGTCTTGGGATTTTATATGGAAAGTCAGAAAGGCTCGTTTATGTGTTATGTGTACATGGCCCAACACTTTTGTCCATTTAGTACATGTCAAATAAAACGCGGGTGGCGTGTAATCCCAGGTTTGGGGCTCTGGCGATGACACAAGTAACAAAAACAACTTTATCGCTACCTTGATTATGTCTTCACAGAATGCGCGTACAGATGTCAGTGAAGCGAGGTCGAGCTGTTTGACCACCAGCTGTGTACTTTCTGCACCGGTGCCTTGCTGGATGTCCCGAGCTGCCTCCTCAGCCTTGTCCAAGTCTCGGCAGGCCATTATTACACGACCCTGGAGCTTCACAATGCCGGCTGCTGTGGCCTTTCCTATCCCGCTGTTAGCACCGGTCACAATAACCGTCTTTCCCTTCATCATTCTGCGGATTTACGTTGGTACAGGACTCCAGAGTTCAACTAACCAACCAATGCATCCCCCAAACCAGCAGAAGCCTCAAACTAACAACATGACGGCTTCTTTTGGGGGGGGGGTTGCGGTTGGCAAACCAGCTAAAAGGTGCATCAGCACCACCTACTGGACCGGAGTGTGGCGTGCGCCTACAGGAAGGAAAGAAAAACAAGCATTTTAATTCTTTCTTTATTAAACCTGTCGTGCTCACAGATATCATCAGTTGTTCATAATCCTGTGACATTAGCTTTCTAAGAAAGGCTACGAAAGTAAAAGGAGTCTTAAGCTAATTTATCTAGTAACAAGGAAGGTCGCCGGTTCAATCCCCAGCTCTGTCTGTCCTGGTCGTTGTGTCCTTGGGCAAGACATTTCACCCCACCGCTTACTGGTGTTGGCCAGAGGGGCCGATGGTGCAATATGACTGCCTCGCTTCTCTCAGTCTGCCCCAGGGCAGCTGTGGCTGCAACTGTGGTTTGCCTCCACCAGCACCAGTGTGTGAATGAATAGTGGAATTGTAAAGCGCTTTGAGTGTCTAGAAAACCGCTATATAAATACAATCCAATATTATTATTATTATTATTATTATTATTATTATTATTGTAAAGTTCCTATTAATGCCTTCTTTCCTGATCACAGGCCCAACACTACATGTTGGACAGCCGTTTGTTTGTGTGCTTTTTCTGAGATGAAAGATGTTATTTCTTGTATTTGTGCGTTCCATCACAAACATGCTTTTGAATATTGTATAGATCCCTTCTTGTGTTGTTGACGTCCCTTCTTCTGCCACATTTGTTGGATCTGGCTGCTTATAATTCTTTGAACGTGAGCGTTGCAAACTTCCTCCTTTGCTTAATGGGTTTTTTGTTGTCTGCATTTTCTTTTTTATAAAATTGGTCTTATGGAGATCCCAAGTGCTCCCCTGTCTGTGTACTATTTGGCTGATGATTCCTATTGTTCTCCAAGCAGAAAATCTAACCCCACTTGAACAGTATACCTCTTAAGCCTAGCTTGTGCTCTTTTGTAATTAATAATTGTTTCTATTCAGCGGTGCTTTTACTATGTCTGCTCTTACCTTGCTACACTGCTCATTCCACCAAGCACTCCTTTGAACCCTGCCCCCCTCCTTGTAATTGTTTTTTCTGCAGCCTGTATCCTTTTCAAGCTTTATGTTAAAAACCTCCACACTTATATTCTCCCTAAGAAGTTCTTCACACCAAGTCTTGCTTAAACTGCTCCACCAAAATTCAATTTGTGCTCTGTGCAACATTTCTTCCTGAATTTCTATACCTACATTAATTTAACCTTAATATAAGGTAAGGGTCGTTATCAGTGTTGCAATATCTTATATTTCTAATGATGTCAATGTTACATTTTTTGTGCTTTCCAGTATTTTGTAAACTACTATATACTCAGCAAGAGCCATTCAGTTCATCACTGCCCATATTATATCTAACTGACGGCCTGTTCAGGGTCTACCCCTGCAATCTTTAAGAAAGGGGATACTTTTTATTTATAGGCTCGGCTGAGCACAGTTGTGTAATAGCCTGTGGCAGTTCCTACAGTCTGTGATGATCCATTCCTGTATGAACACTAATTACAAATGCATGTGCTTTGCTTTCCGAGTGAGCGCAGCCTTGGCTGTTGGGGTTGAAGATCTGTTCATGGATGAGCCTTTGGGGCCCTCTGGTGGAGCAAAGGCAAACAGTGACACGAGATGATGAAGAAACACGTATTAATAACATAATTAGAGTCATTTGATTGAATACAAACAGTAGTTATAGTCAGTGGCATCAGCTTTATTTCAGACACTGGCAGTCAGAAAGAAAGCTACTTGTGTCTCCTTCCTTATACACAAGTAATCACGCCACATATTTGACTTGGCAGACTTTTATGCCTTTCTGACAGGACGCCCGAGGGATTTGTGTCTCCTCCACATATTTACACTGTGGAGCCACGAGTGTAAATATTGGCAGTTACACATACAGAGGCATACGAGTGACATTTTTGAGGTCATGTATTTCTTACAGTCTATGTCCTGCAGACGAAAGTGAAATACCAGGGTCAGATATCAGCTATATTGGTGGATATATAAGGTGTTTTTCTACCACATTTTAGAGGAAATGTGGTACATTTGACTCCAGCAGTCATGTGACAGCTTAAGTGTTACATTTTTGATTAGAATGAGCTTTAATAAAAGTCAAATCTCAAAGACAGGAACAAAGGCCTGGCTGGAGAGATGTGATGAACACAGTCAAAGGGAGAAATGTGATGATGTGTGACAGACTGACTGAAAATACACTCAGGGTGGGAACGAGCTGCAGATCGAAAGGAGTGAGATGAGGTACCAGGTGTGGAAGGAAATACTTTTAAAATAAAACAGGAAATAAATAACATATAAAAGTCCTAATAAAATCCAACATCGTGGCAATAAATTTACATTAAATATGGCACAAACATAAAATGGTATTGTAGACAAAAGATGTAATGTCTCGTCTTCTTCTTCATTTTGTTGCAGTCGCTGGAGCGAACAGCTCCCCCTCTGTTTCTACTCCCTAATGCCAGCGTTATTAAGGTAAACATCGTTGACTGGTAGGTTTGTCTGCTCCGTCTGTGAGGTCACACCGGTCTGCTGGATGAACTGCTGCAAGTTACATTGCCTCAGCTCTTTGTTCAGCTCCTCAATAATCTCCAGTCTGTCCTAGAAGACACAACAGGTATTATATTACCGGAGAACATTGTATCCACGAGCTGATATATCTTACTGTTCTTCAGGGCTGCATACTAAAAATACAGCAGTGCATCTTTAGTCACACCTTTGCACCAAATGAGACACATTTCAAAAGAATGGAGTGATGACCTGTCCTCCTCCCTCCCTGGAAGGCATTGCAAATGCTCAGTACCATCCCAGAGCCAGAAGTATTATCCAAGACCTGTTTGACCTGCTGCCCTCAGCAGGCACTACAGTCGTCACCAGCTTCTTTCCTAAAACGCTGTTTGGAATCAACTCAAACATCCAAAATCCACATGGCTCTTATGCAACTTTTACAGTCTGCAGTAACATCACTGGTTTAATAACTAAAACTTTCAGCTCAACAGTCAGTTTCTTAACATTATACTGATCAATTAAGACTTTTCCTTCATTTGAGTTAATTAAAGTCCTTAGTTTTTGTTATCAGTGGCTCCACAGAGTACTTCTTAATACATTCGACCAACATACAAACAAATTCCTGGGAGAGTTGTGTCAGAGAGGGAATGTGGTGTAAAAACACATGCCCACATTGAATTTGCAGATTAACCCTTTTGTTTTTTGGTTAGCACCAACTACTTTGCAAATGTGTTAATTACTGCTTAAAAGTATTATTTCAGTGCTCTCATTTCCACTGTTTCAGTTTCTGTGTGTGTCTGATCTCACCTTGTTACCGGGTGTGGTGAGGATTATTGGAAAAGTGTGATCCTTTTCAGGCTATTATTCATGCATTCAGAAAAAAGCAGGAGGACGGAGGATTAATGCAAAGACCAACAAAAACCTGTCTGTCAGCTTTAGCCTGCACTTTCCCATTTACAGCATCTTTTGCCAGTTGGGCGTGTCTGGAAAGTTTCAAGTGTGCAGTGGCAAATTTTTCTCATGTCAGCTATAATATTACGCAGCATTATGTATCAGACTTTTCTTTCATTTCATCATCTCATATTAGCTCTATAATGGATCTAGCTAATATGAACCCTGATGTGCTGCTGAAACAAGTCTTACAGTAGTTTTTGTGAGATCAACCCTTCAGTTTAGGTAGAAATGATTGAAGAATTATACCTTTACCCTTTCCTGAGCCGTTTCCATCTCCTGCTGTAACTCAGCCAGTCTTACATCGAGTTCTTCTCCTAGCTGCAGGCGGTTGTGGAGCTCCTGCTTCAGGGACTTCAGGGACTCATCTTGCTGTGCTGTCAGAGAACTCTGCGTTTGGACTCTGACTTGCAGGTCCTCTTCTAGATGTGCAGAACGGGTTTGGAGTGTAGTGATTTCGTAACTTTGATCGTTTATGGATGAATGAATCTGATCCAGGCGCCTGTGCATACCTGTTGATAACAGTGTTAATGGTTTTTGTTTTAGAAATGCAATCTGGAATGCACCAAAAATGTTGGGAATGTAAACAGATATGAGCACATACCTTGTTCTCTTTCCATCTCTGCCTGTAATGCTTTCTCCCAGTCTTCCGTCTGCATCAGCTCTACCTCATTCTGTCTCACTCTCCACTGCAGTTCCTCCAGTTCTTCAGCAAAAGCCAGAGTTACTTCAGGAGATGACCACTTCTGCTCCCATAACTCAGTCTCTCTTTCCAGATCTTGAAGCTGAATCTCCAGATCCTGTAGTCTTCTCTGTTGCTGCAGAATATCCCTAAACACCTCGTCTTTGGGGTAAGAAGGATTTGTCTTCATGGAGTTCACAGGGTCTAGGAAAGATACCGGTGAGGCCCTCAGTTCTGGTGAGGATCTGGGAGATCGAGACCAGTCCTTCTTTGGTTTATTCCTTTTGGGAAGTGTTGAGGGACCCAGACTAAATGTCAGAGCCTTTTGTGGCTCTCTGCGTTTGAGGGGCTCTGGTTCTGAGGGTCTGGAAAGTGGAAGACGTCTCTCGTTGGCGGAGGTGTCTGGACCCTCGCTGAGGCTCGGGCCGGTCCTCCGCAGAACGAACTGGACCTCTGTGGCCAACTGTCCCAGCTGAGCCAGGTGCTGCAGTGGACAATCATCAGCAACCAAGTGTCTCTCATTCCCTCGTAACTTCAAAATGAGAATGTAACGACCTGTCTGACCTGAGCAGGGATACATAAAGGCTTAGTTTTTAACTGATCAACATATTGCTAATAACATGAAATGCAAATATCAGCTGAATGTGGTGCAGAGTGTAATTGACATTTTTTAGTCCTCCTAAAATGTCTGTATGTAATGTTTGTAGTTTGGTGTTCACAACTGCAAACACCAAACTAACACCATTCTGATAACAAAGTAATTCAGTGAGCGTAAAATGAGAATTTTCATTGTTAGTCAGACTGAGAGACTTACCGATTGCTTGTGCGAGAGCTATGACGACATCCTGACAGGAAGTGTTTAGTGATAGGCCACTAACAACTCTGACCACACCCTCCACCCACACCTTCAGCTCCATTGTTCACACGCAACACCAACTTTTACCTACAGGGTGACACATAAACACATCTGTAAACTACACCAATAAACAGTCAATACACTATAAAAATAAACAGTTGCAGTTTGGCAGTAATGTTAGGCTTCCACAAAGATTAAATGTATAAGTCTGCTGTCAGAAATACATACGGTAGCTTTGACCTTTATTTGCTACATCTGCTCATAAGGCAAAGTTGCAAACACTGAGTTTGTTTTTTATTGTGCTTAGAGTCTAATAAGTACAAATATCAACAGAACAATTTTCTACATTGTGTTCTACATTCAAAACTGTTCATAAAGATACTTCCAGCAGAATGATTAATCCATCAGGCATGCTCCCATCCATCCACCTGCTTAACTGCCTATTCAAAATATTGTAATATTTTTCTATATTTTTATGTATAAATATATTTTTGCACTATATATTTGTTAAATTGCAGTTACACTAATCTAATTGTAGTTCTATTTATATTTTATAAGGAACATATGTAACCAATAAAAATAGCAAATCTGCCTTCTCCTATAATCTGTAGAGCACAAATTTATTTGTATGTATCTATTCATGTATACAACATGTTGTATGTGTTTGGTGCTTTGTTTTTGTACCTGCTGAAGGTCTGTTTGTCTGAAATGTTGGGATTTAATAAAATAATTGTAGGCAAGATCTATTTTTCTCTCTGATGGACAATTAAAACACTACTTTTTGAAGTATATGAAATAACATACAAGTGGCTTAAGACAGATTAATATTCATTGTTACATATTTATTTTCTTATGGTTTTATTTAAAGTTGTAAAATTACTTATTATTACCAGTACGTTTCACTATGAATAGTTGAACTTGATGGACTTTTCCTATTGCAAAACTTTGCTGCCAGTCTTACAAAACTGTTGGAAATGATACCAATTTTGTCCTGTTTGGAAGTTTTAGGTAGTCCCAAGTCACAAACAACAATTCTCAGAAAAATGATGTTGAATTTTATAAGCCAGCACTGGAGGTAACTAGAGGGGTCTGAGACTCTGGAGTGCAGGAGTCTGTGGAGAGTGGGCAGGCAGGTTTGTGTCAGCGGGCTGCAGGAGGAGAAACAGGACGACTGTTCCTCCTGAAATCTTGGCTGGGAGCTGGAACCAATTTCACATGGACAAACTGATACCAGCACTCGGGTTTTCTCACACACTCTGCCATTTTTTTGCAAGAACAATAACAACAACAAAGGCTTTGTAGAAGAGCAGCCAGAAGAAGAGTAGCCTGTTTAAAGGTATCTGACTTATATAGCAAATAATTCTCTGTATTTCCACTGACACTGAAAAGGCCAGTTTACACCCTAATGAGACATTCCTCTTATGCTCTAAGACAAATGTAGGAAATACAGACCATTAGAACACATGTTGCTTTCACTTCCTATCACCTGGTAAATGGATGTGTTCGTATATAGCACTTTTTCTACTCGACCTGAGTATCTTGCCCTAACCCATGCAGGAGCCAACAACCAACCACCTTTCGATTAGCAGATGACCAGCTCTGTGCTCTAGCCACCCCCGAACCCACCTGAATATTAACATTTTAAATCATTCATTTAAAAAGCCGTCGTCAATAAGATCTACACAGACACTGTAAGCTCACCCAGATTCTTTCCTGAAAGCAACTCGTTTGAAATGTAATTGTTAAAAATGCACTCTTTCATGTTGATATTATACAAGTGGTGATCAACGCTGTCCCACTGCTGAGTGTATACACTGTATTTTCTCTAATCTTCTGTAGATCGGAGAAAAAAACATCAAACTTGTGCACTCAGCGCTTTCTGTTTGCTGTACAATCCTGGAGAACAATTCAAAGACATCATTAAAAGCCCAAAGTTACCATGACATTTATCTCCACGATGTGTGTATGTAAACTTACTCCCAGTTACAGTTGATGGAATTCTACTCCAACTGTTTGTTTTTATCTAATCAGATCAGGGAATCTTTTGCCTCGTAGCTTTTTGCGTCAGTCCTCCTCCATGCAGGTTGCTCAAAGACGTACTGTTCTGTAACCTTTCTTTCACCTCTCCATTCTTCTTGCTTGGTTATCCAGTTGGTCTAGGCGGCCAATGTTTTTAAGACTGCCTGTTCCAGACTTGTTTACCACACTGCTCTGCAAACACTCAGAGCTCAGTCTTTGATCTGATGCACAATGTAAATTCTGGGACCTTGTATAAACAGGTGCAATGGTTTCTTAATTATGTATAGAAAAAAACATCTAAATTATGACTGGTCATCTGTCTCTGTGCGTTAGCCCAGCAGTGGACTGGAGATCTATCCAGGCAAACTACCAAATGATTAATACTGTATTCCTGCTCCTATGTCTGTGAAGGTTCTCAGTCATCCAGGTCTAAGAAGTCTAAGAAGCTTAGAAAGAAAAACGTCTGGACTTTTTTGAAGACGTTTCACCTCTCATCCGAGAAGCTTCTTCAGGTCTAAGAGCAACTGGTGAGGAGTCCCAGATTTTAAGCCCTATTGGGGTGTCCCCAAGGGGGACATGGACCCCCTATTGAACCTCTACCCAATCACACGAGCCAAGATATGAAAAAAAAAAACGGGTGTAGGTCACAATCAGCGAAGGTTTTGGGACTCTCCACCAATTGTTCTTAGAACTGAAGAAGCTTCTTGGATGAGAGGTGAAACGTCTTCAAGGAAACTTAAAGAAGTCCAGATGCTTTTCTTTCCAAGCTCCTTAGACATTCCTGGTCCGAGTAAAAAGATGTACTGGGTGGTTTTCGGGTGGTTTGTCAAAGTAGTGTGTTGCTGTACCTCAACAGAAGCTGTTGTTTGACTGATGTGGGAATATCTAGTTTCCATCAGTTCTTGACGAACTGCATATTACTGTAACATTACATGCCAATAGTGTCAGTTCAGCCAGGAAATCCATAAAAAGTTAATGTCAGTAAAGCCTTTTGTGTTGGGATTGTAATGAGACCGAAAAATCTTCAGGGGGTTTCTGGAGTGTCAACAAATATTTTTTGTGAAAATGGGCTGATTTAGGATTGTTAATCCATCATCATCACCGATATTCTGTCACAGGTCAGTTAATTAGACAAAGACCAGCCTTGCAGCCAACAGTGGTGCTACCCGGCACATTCAGTGAACATTAGAGGGTTTTTCCTGGCTAAGATTCCTGCAACGTTGCAAATATACATGACTGGTGATTGATACAAAATTGAGTTCCTTACTTAAGACAAGTGTGATAAACTAAAGTGTAATCCATACTGGAGCCAGAGAGAGATTTTTTTTAAACGAGTCTATTCTTGTCATATTTTAGGGGAACCCTCAGAGTGAGCAGTTTAACATATGTGCGTACTTACATTTCAAACAGGTGTTTGAAGTGTGGGCAGGTTTGTGTTTGTGTCATGTGTTTGCTGGGAAAGACGCGCGGCCTCACTGAGCAGGAATGAAGCAGAACATGTTGACATTCCTGAAAGAGTCAGACTCCTCCCACACATACTCCAGTCTCTGTTTACTAAATTCCACTGCCCAGCATCAGTTTCAGTGTCACCATCATTAAGAAAACAGTAGGTGCTATAACACCCTTAAAAGTACCATGAAACTGATTTTCTTTATGTGGAAAATGCTGATTTTCACTTTTATAAGACCTGTTGGTTCTTGATGGGTCACAAATAAATTTTTGCCTAAAGTATCAGCCTCTGTGTTACCTTTTTACCTTTTTGTGTAATGATTGACATTAAATTTTAGTCCACATCCGAAGATTTTGTTCTTGATATAGGATTATTTTGGGGGTCTTTTCAAAGCTATTTTACTTAAGTTAACCAAATCACAGCTTTGTCTTTGATTTGATAAACATGACAGGACATTTTATGCAAAACAATTTCTAATGCACGGATACAGTTAAATAAAGGAAAAACATTTAGTAGCTGAGTGAGGTGATGATTTCAGAGCCTGTTGGCACTCTCCTCGAGTCTGTAATCCTGCTGAAATGATGGAACATCGTCCTTTCACAGATATTACCCCATTAGCTGTTTTGATGGTGGTGCTGGACAGCACTGTCTAACTATAAATCTCCCACAGGTGTTCAATTTGGGTCGAGAGCTACACACTATAAAGGACATGCCAAATGATTCCCAGCAGTTTTCTCCTCATCAAACCGCTCAGTGAGCTTTTCTGTTAGTTTGTCTCTCATCTGTGTTTCACTTCATTGTTAGTCATTTCTGTAAGGGTAATCTAAAACACTTTATGTGTAATTTTTTTTAATAACTCAAAACTGAGAGATAAGCAGAGACAAATGTTGTACACTTACCTTCTATTTCAGTTTCTCTCTGTTTCACTGAAGGTCCCGCGGCTGTCAGTCTGTTTCGTGGTCGGCCTGCTGAGCAGCTGAACGGCTGTGACTCAAACACACCTACGGACTCAGCTGAGGAGGAGGAGGAGGAGGAGAAAGAGGAGTGCAGCTGTGGAATGCAGCTCTTCTGGGTGTGCTGCGTGTAATGTGATGTCACTGTGAAAGTACTCGGAAGAAGTAAAGTGCATTTACTGTAGCGGATTTTTTTGTGCCACAATCATCCTGTAGGAAATCACCGGCTTTTGTTCTGAGCTTGTTATCTTTTTCTTTTCAGTCCTTCGTGAAAATGCCTCAAACCACCACTACAAGTTCCCACCAGACAGGTCCACCTGTGCTTACTCATTATTCACTTTTTCCCTAAATTCTACAGCCTGCATCTGCCTGATTTTAACAAAGTCATGTTAAACCCACAGCTTTGAGTTGCACTGGTGTGATCCTCTGTTGCAGAGAAAAAGTTTCAGTGCTTTTACTCCAGCCTGTGGCTCCAAGCAGTGATGTCACTGTGACGCTGAAACTGGGCTCCTCCCAAACTAAATAGGAGATAAAAACAGAGAGGAGTGGCTCCTCCCACCAACTTGTTCTTTCTGCACATTTCCAACATTCAACTTCGAGGTATTAGTCTCTCCTTTTCTCCTTTGCTCTGTTTCCTACTCTGTGTTTCAGTGTGTTTCAAGTTTTATTGTCATGTACAGATAAACAGTGTAGCCACATTCATCCATAATGCATTTTCTCGTGCTCCTCAGCCTTACATGAGCATATAGAGAGTGCAGTTATATTACGAAGAAAATAACAGAATTTAGCAGTTGTAATAATAATGATAATAATAACAATGAAAATGAGAAAAGGAGAGAAAAAAAGTAATAAATATTAGAGAATTTAAGACCAGTTGGTATTTACAAGTTTGTACAGGAGTATTTACAGGTTGAAATGGTTTTGTATGCGTCCTTTCAATGCAGCTGGTTACAGCACCAAACCAACAGCAAACATCAGCATCAGGATGAAGATAAATGAAGCTGAAGTCGTGTTTCCATGTAGCGTTTCTTTTACTGAAGTTATTATTTTGTGTGGCTCTACTGTATACCATTTATACACTGACTTTATGAATTAAGCCTAAAGATCTCATTCAGTTAGACTGGAAATGTTGACAATGGGAGGAAACCAAGTAAAAGTCTTTCAATCTCTCATCAGGACAAACACAAACTGGTTTGTAGTCAGGTCCCATTGAAGACTGTGCTCAAACACAGAGGCCAGTTATTCATGTGAATTAACATCTTGACATCTCCCTCGACTGGTAGAAAGATGAACTGGAAATATTCCTTTTTATGGATGGACAGAGCTGCTCTTCAGCAGTGAAGCAGCACTGTACCACAAACAGCCTTGTTAATCAGTCGATGTTCAGTGGCTCATTTTACTCAAGGTCCGGTTAATCCACAGTTGCAGAAAAATACGGGACAATGAAATCTTGCTAATGTTGTGTGAAATTGATGAACCATTTATTTATTTCCCCAAATTACATTTTTTGTGCCTCGAGATCTCTTGGCCAATCCCATTTTTGATGTTTGTGTTACTGAGAAATGCCTTAGTAACCTGCCAAGTCCAGAACTCATCAAACACCAGTATCATAGAATATCAATGATACTTGATCTTCTATGATACTGGTGCATGATACTGTATCATACACCAGTATCATTCATCTGCCTTTTCATAATTCTACACCTATGAGTTCCTTAAATCCATAACCCTCCCCCATTTTTCTTATGATCAATTTAATATCTTTGAAAAACTTCATCTCAAGACGAATGATTTTGTCAGTTTGAAATCACGTGGACCTGATGGTTTCCCTGCTGAGCTCTGCAAACATTTCTAATAACCTTTTCCCTTCTATTTATAAGAACAACTTCAGAATGTAGCTCCACTCAGCTGATTACTAGACACCGTCTCCTATAAATACAGACATTAAAATTCCAAGTAAGGGCTCAGCATCCAGATTAGATAAAGTGATTAAATTTGCCCTCTCATTCACCCTGACCAGACAGGTTTTATTAAAGGCTGACTATCTATCAGTGCTTGCAAACCCAACACTTTAATGCAGCTGTCCCACATTAGTAAATCACAGTAACGTTATCATGTAGAAAAAGCATTCAACAGGGTTCACTGGAAATGTCCTTTTGCAACACTACAAACATTTGGGGAAACATTTATTAGCTGAATCAGGGCTCTTTGTATTTCCTCAGTGACCACTGTCACCATCAGTTAGTTGATAACATTCATACAATCTCATTCTTCACAGTGGGACCTTTTTCACTAGCAGCAGCAGCAGGAGTGAGATAAGATGGAAATATCAAACGTGTTCAAACAATCATTACACAACACATATTTGTTTTATGACTCCATTTAGACAAACATGATTTTGCAGCTCTAGTTTCTCTCACGAGGTTAATATTAAATATATCAGGATGAACATTTCCTACAAGCTTACAATCTCACTCCATCATGCCGAATAGTACAAGATGATTTCAGTCACTGCTCCAACCTTCCTGCCTCCCTTTATAAACAAACTGCAGTAATAAAAATGTCACGCTTACCTAAAGTCCATCATGTATCCACAGTAGAAAAACCTAAATCTCAAGCAGGTGTCCTGGTGTTTGTGTTTTTGATTTAATATTCTTTGATTATTGTTATTTGTGGTTCTTGGTTCTCTGGTTCTTGATCTTAGTGTTTATCTTAGCCTGTGTTTAGTCTCAGCCCCGTGTTACTCAGTGTTCCTCGTTTCACGTCGAGTCACCCTTGTCTCTATGTTCATCTCCTCTGCCTCCCCAGTCAGTCATATCCCCGTGTCTCAGTGATAATAGCTCATGGTTCCTGTTTTACTTTGACAGTCTCGCGTGCCGTGATTTCAGTTTTGTTTCCTCCCCGTCTCATTTTGTCAGATTAGTCCCAGCTGTGTTTCCTTCTTGTTTCTCATTCCCTCGTTATTTCTTTGTGTATTTAAGCCCTGTGTTTTCCTCTGCTCGTTGTCGCGTTGTCCCATATGTTGTGTATTCTTTGGTTTCATTTGCGGTCACCAGTTCCTAGCTTCTAGATTCCAGGTTTCTAGTTTCCTGGTTTTCAGTTTTAGGCTACATTGTCACTGCGGGAAACGCCAGTGTATTTATGGAACGGACCCAAAAGCCGACACGGGAGAACAAAACTAAGGTTTAACACTAGGCGAGCTTTTATTGTGGCTGAATATCATAAAAAACTAAGATCAAATATGAAAAGTGTGACAAAAACATGAACAAGAACCTGGACTGGAGCATGCGAAACAATGAGGGGAAACATGAGCATGAACCTGACGAGACTCGACATGACGACAAAAGACGACCTGACAGAGGACTTAAATCCACAGGAGGGCATTGAGGGTAAGCACCCGGGGAGACACAGCTGACACCAATGAACATGACACCATAAGGAGAAGTAAAACTAAACACACACAACATGGAAACACCAGAGTCTTCAAAGTAAAACAGGAAACGTGGAGAGACGCAGACATGACGCACATGACGGGCTGGACAGGAAACATGACACATAACCAAGGAGAGATGAAACAAAAACACAAGAACTTACTATCACAAACGTAACGTAATAAACTTAAAACGGTCACAGACCCAGCCCCTGCTTTCTTATTTCTGGTGTTTGAGTTGCGTCACAGCATGATAAAGCTGCCTCCTTCGGTTTACCCTTTTGTTTCGAGTCGTGCGTTTGGGTGCTCATCCTGCCTGCCACAGCGTTCTACATGACACGATTAAAAGCTCCAAACTATTCATTCTGTTTCTAGCTCAGCTGCTCTCAATCTAATTTTACCTGCTAGTTTATCAGATATTCTCAATATTTCAAAATCATATCAATAGCTGGGATTCTGACAGCTTGAATAAAGACACTTCCAACCACCAGCTCCGGTTTCACCATCCCATTGTTCCATTCTGGAACAAGCCAAACCTTATAATCAATAAGAGCACATTCAGTTTGACAAAATGGAAAGACAAAGGAATTACTGTCGACTTCATCTATTAAGATAATACTTTCATGAACTTTCAGCAGTTTTTTTTAAAAGAGTATTCCTTTTTGTTTTATTGGAGGACAGACAGGAAAGTGGGCTGAGAGCGAGGGCATGGCAGAAGGCCACAAGTCAGACTGGCTCAAACAAACTTAAAACATTAAATTTGATTATCTAATGACAAGAGAGAAATTTACACGTTTATTCTATGAGACTAATACTATATGAATGTGTCTGTCTGTATTTGTTCAGATTTATAATAATGTGTGTATGTATGGACAAACAAATATTTAATAATTGCATACGTGACCATAGAACACCCTGGTTAAGAAAGCCCGTCAGCGTCTCTTCTTCCTCAGAAGACTTAGAGACTTCCATCTGCCACTGAAGGTGCTCAAGAACTTCTACTCCTGCACCATCGAGAGCGTCCTGACGGCAAACATCTGCACCTGGTTTGGGAACAGCACCAAGCAGGACAGACGAGATCTGCAAAGGGTGGTGCGCTCGGCAGAACGCATCATTCAATCAGAGCTCCCTGACCTGCTGTCCATCTACACCAAGCGGTGCAAGTCCAAAGCTAGGAAGATTATGATGGACCTCTCCCATCCCAACAATGGACTCTTCTCACTGTTGAGGTCTGGGAAGCGCTTCCGCTCCCTTAAGGCCAAAACAGAGAGAATGAGGAGGAGCTTCTTCCCCCAGGCTATTCGGGGCCTGAACTAGGTGTAGGACTGGACTCTCCCACACACATCACTGGACTCACACACATCACCACACGCACCACCACACATTTCCTATAATTTATAATCCTTATAATTTCTTTCTGCTATTTGTACATTTTTTACTGTAAATTTCTAAGTTAATTTGTAAATTTTGTAGTAACCTGTAAATTGTAAATACTGTAAAACTTTTTTCTGTCATTTAATGGTCGGGCATTGTACAGCTACAAGCATTTCACCCCCATGTCATACTGTGTATGGTTGTGTGTGTGTGACAAATAAAATTTGGATTTGGATTTAGAAACACTGGGTATATTGTTAGATCATTACTATCATTACTTAATATTAGAATATTATTAAAATATTATTAAAACACAAATTCTGAAACAGTAAGAATCAGAATTTCTTTGTAACTCAGTGATGTTAACAATTACATTATATTTACTACTGTTGTTACTGATATGAAATAAAGCTTTACAGCAGTAAATCATATTAACACCTTCTACAGCGCTGCAGCGCCTGCTTTGTGTTTTATTTTTTCTTTAAAAAAACATTTTTATGCATCTATGTTTGCCCTTGCTTATGTCCCATTGAGGGCACTGGGCTTTTTAGACAGAAACCAGTTAAAGTAGTCCCAACAGGTGTTCAGCACGGCCAGGCCAGCAGGTTA